AACTCTTTATGGACATAGAAAACCCTACCTTTCCCCTGCACTGCAGCTGGTGGTTTAGAACTGCTGACCATAGGGTTAGCAGCCCAAGGAATAACCACTACACCACCAGGGCTCCTAGAAAGAGAACAGTGAAAGGCAAAATACAAGAAAATCCCGAATCACATAGTTCAAATGATAGAAGCTATGGGCAGTTAAAAATGAATCCTTGAGTATCATATAGCTGGAGAATATATTCGGTAAAAATAACATACTTTAATTCCTTTAAAACTTAGGTACTCCTGACATAGAGATCCCTGTGGTATTAGAGCAACAGCAATCTAGCTGAGAGGAATTATTAAGAGGCAGAAGAAGGGCAAGCATGAAGGTAGGGCAGGAGGAAGGTAAAAGGAAACAGGAAAGATCTAGGAAGCAAAGCTTTGGATAGAGGTATAAAGAGAGGTGTGCTCACATATAAATATATTCATAAAAATAAAGGCATTGGCCTATGTAAATATATTTATATGGCAATACATTGAGGAAGTGGATGGACTTTGGGCCTCTGTCCAAGCCCTCCCTCAATGCAAGAACACTTTGTTCTAACAACCTGGCATTCTGTGATACCCTACCAACATGATTGCTGAAGACAAAATGGGTTCATAAACAAATGTGGTGAAGAAAGCTGATGGTTCCCAGCTATCAAAAAATATAGCGTCTGGGGTCTTAAAGGCTTGAAGTTTAACAAGTGGCCATCGAGCGGAGAAGCAACAACCCCACATAAAAGAAGCACTTCAGCCTGTGGGATTATGAGGTGTTGACAGAATCAGATGATAGACACCAGAAGAGGAAAAACAAAACAAAATGAAACAGTTGAGAACAAGGGAGGTTAGAGCAGAGACCCAAAATCCACCTGTAGACAATAGGACATCCCCTCACAGAAGGGTCACAAAAAAGGAATGAGTCAACCAGGGTGCAGTACAGCACCAGTGAAACACACAATATTGTTTCTGGTTCTTTGAGGCTTCCTTACCCCCCACTATCATGACCCCAGTCCTGCCTTTCAGTTCTGGCTAGACTGCACATAACTGGTACAGATAAGAGCTCACAACAAACGGAATCCAGGTCAGATAACCCCTCAGGAACAGAAATGGGAGTAGCAATACTAGGACGGTAGGGGGAAGGTGGGGAGTGAAGGAGAGGAAGGGGGACCCAATCACAATGATCAATGTGTTAACAATCCCCACCCCACCCCTCACCCCCGCCCAGGAGAATGAACAACCAAAACATTGGTGAAGGGAGACAGAGGTCGGTGTAAGATATGAAAATAATAATTTATAATTTATCAAGGGGTGAGGGGTGGAAACAAGAGGAGCTGATACTAAGGGCTCAAATAGAAAATTAATGTTTAGAAAATGATGATGGCAGCATATGTACAAATATGCTTGATACAATTGATGTATGGATTGTTATAAAAGCTGTAAGAGCCCCAGTAAAATATTTAAAGAAAAACCTTAGGTCCTCTTTTAGCCTGTTTAAAGTATGTTTTACTTTAGTTTTTGCTTCTTTATCATTGTGTAAGTTTGTCTTTTTTGGGGCAAAGCATTTACCTTGTAATATAGGGACAAACTCTCTTCTAACTAGATATATGAATTTAAACAAATTGATTTTCTCCATCAGTAAGA